GCCCCCAGGGGACCGGGGCAGGGCAGCAGGCAGAGGCAGGGCCCAGCCCTGGCTTTCTCCATGCCCAGGGACACTCCCCTGCGCCCACCCCCCCCAGGAGCCCCCAGGGAGTGCCCTGGCCACACACAAGACTCGGCACACACTGCGCTGCGGCAGCGGCGGCTGAGCGGGAGTAAAAGGAGCTTCTGTCTGACCCCTGAAAAGCCCCTCTGTCTGGGGATGACTCGTGCTGGCTGCTCCCAAACCGCGGTGCCCCAGCCTGCCTGCACCCCCGCCGCACCCAGCCCAGCCCTAGCAGGAGCAGGCAGGCTCAGCGGTTGATGTTGGCGCTGGACAGCTGAAGGCAGCTTTCCCAGCTCTCCCCAAGCTCTCGCAGGAGGATGGTCCGGGGTCTTGGGGGCAGCTCAGCCCCGGAGATCCTCCCCACTCCCTGCCCTGGACCCAGAGGTGCCCGGGCTCCTGCACGGGGCTGCATGCAGGGCAGACACTGGGCGATGCACTCCTGGGCTCACTATCCCTTACTTTGGCTCTGTGAGGACGTCGATGACACACTTCCTCTGAGGTCCCACCGTGGTCCAGTTCTTGGCCAGGCTCACCATTGCCCCAGCATCCAGCAGGCCGTAGCCATAGGAGTGGCTGACTGTGGACAGAGAGGGGGTCAGTGCCACTCCTGGGGGGCCCAGGCAGGGTATGTGTGCCTGGCTGCGCTGCACGGCTCACCAGGGCCTCCTGCCTCCTTTGCCCCCCAGGACTGCTGGCGTGCTCTGCCCCAGCACCCCTGGGCTAGTGGTGCTTGCAGGAATGGGAGACCCTGATCCATCCCCGGCACCCTGGTACCTTTGCGGCCGACACCATTGGTGACCCAGTCATTGGCGTTGAGGTGAGCCGGCTTCGACGTCTGCACCACCAGATGCTGCATGTCCCGCCAGGTCAGGTTCTTGCTGCAGGGAGACACGGGGCTCAGGCACCGGCACCCAGCTCCTCCCGGCCCCAGGCAGGTCCGTGCCCAGGTGCCGCTGTTTTGTGGGGCTTGCACAGCCACCCCAGCCCAGCCCCCACTCTGTGCCTGCCCTTACTTGGCTTCCAGGGCGAGGGCGATGATGCCAGCAGCCAGGGGCGCCGAGGCCGACGTTCCTGTGTGTGATTCGGTACATTTCTGTCTGAGGTCAGTCGTCACCTGCAAGGAGGAGTGCCAGGGTAGGAGGTGCTGCAGGCACCAGCCAAGTCCAGGAGCCGGCTCCGGGGCTTGCATCCCCATGAGAGCTGTGGGATGCGAGGCAGAGCCACCACTCCTGGGGCAGCTCATGAGCTTCCCTCCAGAAGCCCTTAACTCATGAGACGGAGCCCTGGGAGTGACTTGGAGAGCAGCAGCACGGCAGAGCGGGGCCAGCCCTGCTCCCAGCACTGCAGCCCGCTCAGCTCCCGGAGGGACACCCATGGTGGCCACAACCCACAGCACATCCCCCCCTCGTGAGCCCCCAGCCTGCAGACACCGACAGCCCCGACTCACGATCTGCTTCTCGTTCTGGTTGCCGCTGCTGTAGGTGGTGGCAAGGGTGGAGGAGCAGGCCTCGCTGTACCAGGGCACGTTACCATACTGCGTGGTGCTGCTGATGGACAGCGTGTAGATGCTGTTGGTGTAACCGTCACAGTTGCAGCTGTCGTGCTCGCGGCCCCCGTTCCCGGACGCCCAGACGAAGATGGAGCCCAGCCCCCCTCGGCCCTAGCAACAAAGGCAGGGTGAGGGCCAGCACCAGCGTCACCCGTGCTGCTGCAGGGCGGGAAGCCCCAGGCCGGAGCCGGGGTTGAAGGGATGGTGCTGGCCCCAGGGCTCTTGCAGCCTGAGTTTGAAAGACTAAGCAGATGCAGCTGGGACAGCGGGGCACAGTGGGACACCACCAGCCAGCCCGCTGGCCTGGGCGCCTGGCACCCCCATCCCTCTCCCACCGCCATGCCTACAGAGGTGCTGAGGCAGCTCTGCAGAGGCTGCCCCAACAGGTAAGGCGCTGGGCAGCAGGAGGCCCTGCTGAAGCAGGACTTCCAAGAACCGATGTCTTTTTCCGCTCGGAAGTCACCCAGGCTGACTCTGCCTGTGTGGCATTTGCAGCTGCCTGGCAGCGCTGCGGGAGCTCGGCAGAGCAGTCCTGACCGGCTGCTCGGCACCCAGAAGCCACAGCTCCACTCACAGCATGTGTGACAGAGCTAGCACGGCACAGCGCAGCGGGTTTGCCAGCACAGCTCGCACAGCACGTGTCTCTGTGCAAGGAATCCCAGGCGGAACACGGGGCACGGCTGAACCACACAGGCTGCACCACGGCCATGCCAAGGCACAGGCTGCACTGACAGCACATGGGGACAGCAGGGGGAACCGAGGGCGAGCGGCTGGCATGAAACAAGGCAGGAACCAGCACAGGGCTTTGGAGAGTGGGGAGAGACCGTCCTGGCATGGGGCTGTGCCAGAGTCCTCTGAACAGGGAGGACAGGGCTGCTCAGAAAGGCGAGATAAGCACCCTGCATGGGAGGAGCCCTGACTCAGAGCCATCAGGCAGTAAGAACAGGAAAAACCAACAGAGCCTGATCCTGGAGATGGGCTGGAAGACAGCTCATCACTGGAGGGCAGGGACAACACCAGGGCAGGCAGAGCAAGGGAGACCTGTGGGAAGGGGCAGGAGCTCAGCTGGTGCTCCCCCGGCAAACTCTCCCGCTCACCTGGCTGACCCCTCGGAAGAAAGCCTCCTCCGCCAGCCGGGCTGGGCCATCCACAGTCTTGCCATCATCCTCGGGGCCCCAGCTGGCACTGTAGATGTGGATGTGGTTGGGATTGAGGCCCAGGGAATGGGCCTCCACAGCATCAGTCACCTCCCCATCCAGCATGCGCACGCCTAGGGCCAGAGAGCAGACGTCACGGGTGACCGGACAGGGCAGGGCGGCTGCGCACCACAGGGCAGCAGTGCCACTGGCAAGAGCCCTCCGTCCACTGTTGCCGCCCTGTACCACGGGCCGTCACAGGGCTACCCTGGCCAGCAGCACCAAGATCACTGGCACAGCCCACTCCTCCGGCCGTGAGGCACCCGCAGAGCTCAGTGCAGGCTTTGCTCTCAGTGCAGGGCAGGGTGGCACCCACCTCCAATCCTGGCGTTGTAAGCCACGCCAACACCACAGATCCCATTGTTTGCCACGGCAGCAACTTCCCCTGCGCAGCGCGTGCCATGTCTGCAGTTGAAACAGGACGACGTGTGCTCAGATGGGGCGCGAGGAGCACAGGGCTGGGCACCAGCCGCAGCTGGAGGGACCAGAGCCCCGGCTGCCTCCCGTCCCTCCCAAACCGGGCAGCCAACAAAGACCTCACAGGGCTCCTCCGTCTACCCTCCTGCTCTGGAGCAGGAGGGACTGAACAGCCTGCACTGGCACTGGGCAGCCCCAAAGGATGCTGCTCCCATCAGAAAGGGAAGCAGAGGGTTTCTCTGTGGGGCAGAAGCGTGCTGTCACTCCTGCACCCTCCCGCAATCCATGAGGGCTGGCACTGCTGCTGAGTCCCTGCCGTGGCTGGGCTCTGCCACCCTCGCGTCTGCCTCCTGCCTCACCTGTTGTCGTTCATCTGTGTGTAACGGGGCTGCGGGTCTGGGTCCTGGTCGTTGACATCAAAGCTTGCCCCTGGATCCTGGAAGACAGATCTGGCAGTTAGAGACCATCTACCTTGCCCACTGAGCCCCACCACCATGGGGGCACACCTGTGCTCCATGTCCCTGAGGCTGGGCTGAGCAGGGGGGGCAGGCTCCAGTCCCACCTCCATTGCTTTCCTCCATGTCCCGCCATGGCAGGCATGAGCCCTGTGCCACGCAGCTCCGGGGCCGCACCAAGCAGATGCAGCTGCCCAGACAGGCTCCCGTGGCACACAGCCCTGCGGCATCGCCCCACGCTTACATAGTTGCCCTCCAGGTCAGGGTGATTCTTCTCAATGCCATCATCCAGGATGGAAACCACGATGCCCTTGCCCGTGTAGCCCTGCTCCCAGGCCTGACGCACGTTCAGGTCCCGCTGGTTCGTGTTGTACTGCCGAGAGAAGCCCTGGCAATAGGAGCTGTGCCCGGTTGCTGGCACTGCAGCAGGGGTGTGCCCGGACCCCTCCCAGGCCCAGCTGTAAGGGCGGGCAAGAAGCAGCCTTCACCCCACTCTGCTGTGGTGTGGGGATGAGGAAACCCCAGGGGACCCAGGCACAGAGGGCTGGGCACGGCTGCCTGCGGAGGGCCACTCCGAAAGGAGACTGAGCCCCAGACTGTGCTTGGGCCCCATAAATACGTCTCACTTCGCAGAGATTAGGCTTGTGCCCGAGCTTGACGATGCAGACAGGCAGGGGCACAGACCCCATTCCTGGGCCAGGCAAAGGGCTGCTCCCGCCTAGTCCAGCCCCAGGCTCTCCCCAGCCCTGCCAGTGCCCCAGCAGGGAGCCGCA